CCTGTCCCCACCAGAGGAGGGAATAGCCACATCATAATTCATTCTCCTCCATTTCCCTCTTAGGATTTCAGGCACCTGTGTACACATGCACACCCTGCATGATTTTCAAGCCATAACGTCAGAACTCAAACCATGGAATCAGCCATGTGAGAATCCAGCAACATAACCACCACGCTACCTGTCATGCCCCATTTACCCATGTGTTTACTGAATTATTCATTTTTTAATGAGTGAGCTGCTTGGGTTCTTATATATTCTGGTTATCCCTTGTCTAAGGAATAACTTGCAAATATTTTCTCCCATTCCAAGGGTTATCTTTTCATTTTAATTATTTTTTCCTTTGCTGTGAAGAAGGTTTTTAGCTTTTAGTTTTTAGCTTAGTAATTCCACTTGTCTATTTTAGGGAGTATTGCCTGTCTTTTAGGGGTCTTATTTAGGAAATCTTTGTCTAACCCCAATGACTTCAAGACTTTCCTTAAGTTTTCTAACTAGTAGTGTTATAGTTTGAGGCTTTAGATTTATATCTTTGATCCATTTTGAGTGGACTCTTGTTAATGGTGAGAGATAGGGGTCCAGTTTCATCTTTCTGCATGTGATTATTCAGTTCTTCCACCATCATCTTCTGAAAAAACTTTTCCTCCACTGCATTGACTTGCATCCTTTGTCAAAGACCAATTGGCTGTATGCTTTTGAGTTTATTTCTGGATTCTCTATCTGTTCCATTGTTCTATGTGTCTATTTTTGTGCCAGTACTGTGCTGTTTTGATTATCATGGCTTCATAATACATTTTGAAGTCAGATAGTAAGATGCCTCCTATTTTATTCTTTTTGTACAATATTGCCTTGTTATCATTGGCAATAGGATCAGAATCGCATTGCACATGTAGATTAATGTGGGTAGAACTGATATTTTGTTTATATTGATTCAACCAGTCCAAACACATGGATTTTTTTTCTTTTTTTTTTGTATTCAATTTATTTTTTTCAGTTTTTCATAGTTTTTCTTGTAGAAGTCTTTCACCTCTTTGGTTGGGTTTATTCCTGAGTATCATTTATTTTGTGACTATTATAAATAAGATTTCTTTCTATGTAGGCATATCCACTTTTTTAATATTTTATTATTATATACTTTTTTAAATTTTGCTATAAGGCACATGAGATTACTAGAGAGAGGGAAAGTGAGAAAGGAAGCCACCAAGTCTGGGAGTTGAACCACAGTTAGTCATGTGGGAGTCCAGTGGGGAAAATGCATAAGACTAAAAAATCTCACCATAGGGCAGACCACCACGCCCAAAGAAAACTAAAGAATCTTACAAAGGCAGAGCAAAAATTAGACTTTACTAATTAGGGTCAAAATGTTTCCTAAATTCTATTAAATATATCGAAAAGCTCCTAACAATTTTCACTCTTGGCTCTGCCTACAGCAAGGGTCAAAAAAAAAAAAAAAAAAAAAAAAAAACCTGTAAAGTTTTACCATAGCCCAAAAAAACAAGTAGTGTTTACTCAAAACATGTCCCCACACCCTCAGGGCCTCTATCCAAACATATCCCTACATGTGTGCATGCTCATAATCCTAGGAAGAGGGTGAAGAAGAAGGGATTGCACTGTGGCCATTCCCTCTGGGGAGTGATTTCTTACTTTCCCTCTTCCTGTCTTTCTCTGTCTCACTCCTCTCCAATGAGTTCATGTGCCCTATGGCACCAGAGATTGGCAAGCTATTCATTGGGAAAAGGGAAGGATGAATGCTAATATCATAGAGGTTGGCATAAAATGTTTATTACATCCATAAAAGGAATACTATTCAACTATCCAAAAGAATATTACAGTAACTATTACAATCAATATCCCATGTATTTAACCATGGAAGGATATTCATGAGAGGGGTGAACAATTTTTTTTAAGTTGTTTTATTTTTCACAGGAGCAGTCTGGTGTTCAGATAATGCCACAATGATAGTAAAGAGAGTCCAATCTTTGTGCCATTATCTGAACACCAGACTGCTCCTGCCCAGCAACATAACTTCTACAAAGGCACCCCAAGACATTAAAATTCAGTATCAGAGATTGGCAAATGATTCACTTGGGGAAAAAAGAGGGAACAATACTAATGTTATAGAGGATGGCATTAAAAAAATTGGCATGATGGAGAAAGACATGAGGAAACGCATTTCTCACCTGGTGTAAAAAGGTACAGAAATGCCTATTTCCCCATGTCTCTCTTCACCATGCCATTTGTTTATAAAACTGCCTTTTTGTTAGAAGACACATGGATGAGTGTTGTCAAATGCCCAGAGAAATTAATTCTTCATTCTTCACTTGTCATTTTTGCCCCCACTGCTCAAATATCCTCCCTGTCAGGAAATGGTCTTCTATGAAATTAGAATTCTACATGGGCAAATACATGCCTATGTTCTCAATTACTAATTTCTTGCTGCAAGAGCCCTCTGTATAGCACCAGGCATATATTTTAATCTACCTGAAACTTTAGTGTCTCTATAATTTATTCTAGGTGACTTTTGCTTTGACCAGGTCATTAATATTTCACAATATCCTTTCAACATGGCCTATATTCCTTTTTCTTTTAACCTGTGTGGGAAATGGCACAGAGTACTAGATGATAAATATTTTACAAATAAAAAAGAGGAAAAAGACTGTAGACACCACTTACCCAATCTCACTAATATGCAGTTGAGGATACTTCTCCTGACTCATAGAGCCTCTTAGAGCAGGGATGAGAACCTGGTAACTTTCCATTCTGTTAAACCCTCTACTCCTCCCAATGCCTGGATCTTCTAGTGCTACAAATTGCTACCAGGTTGCTGTGTGGTTCAGTGTACCTAAGTCAACTCAGGGGAGTAGTGATTTTTTTTTAAAGCTATAGATATTATCTAAGTCATTACCCACAGGGGCTTTGAGAGACTGCATGGTGTCAAGATGCTTGCACCTTACCACAGGGGATAAGCAGTAAGTGAAGTTCCTGCTTGACTGGGCTAGACGCACAGAATGTGTAAGTAAATGCAAATAAGCAATGTTTTCCCCTCTCCCTTGACTTCCGTACCTGGCTGTAACATGGAAAATGTCAGATCTGCCAAAGCAATGTTATAGCTTGTTATTTAGGAAATGAATACAAGGTTCTTTCAACTGAAAGGCTGTCTTTTCAACCAGCCACCTAGGTGTTTGCTGGAAGTGCTTGACAAATTATCTCATGGACAATATTAAGACTAGAAAGATAACAGGGTGGTAGGATGATATAAAGAATATACCTGAGTCTCTAGGTATTTTACAGCAAATGGGCCAACTGTAGCACAGTCTGCAGCATACCAGATTGCAGTGCTAAAAGCTACGTAACCAACCATGGTTCAGATCTCTTGCCCCTTGGGTCTAAAATGCTCTAGGCAGGCACATGTGCCCAAGATCCTGATGGACTGAAGGAAGGATAGCATGGACCAGAACCTGTTGAGAGTGCTTCTCTCCCTCATGTGTGTGCATATATGCATGCATCACATGACACACACATGTGCTCTTTACCATGAAATATGTATTTTATAAATATTTTACAGTGGGGAAAAAAAACATCCATTGCAAAGGCTTTCTAAGCTTCAGAAGTTTGTCTTCTCCAGCATAAGGAACAAACTGCATTAAGTCCTTTGACTCCAGAACAGTTATTTGTTATTTAGGAAATAAATACAAGGTACTTTCAATTAAAAGGCTGCCTGTTCAATCAGGCAAACAGGTGACAGTAAAGGTGCTATGTATTATTTTGGAGTCATTACATTCACCTGTTGCACACTGTGGTTTGTTTTTGGTTTTTGGGGTTTTTTTGGTTGGTTTTTTTTTTTCTTTTCTTTATAAAAGTGAATTTGACCTATGGAGTCAACTTTACTCAGAGCCTCAGGGTGGCTGTCCAAAGCTAATGAATTGCCAAGAAAGAAAACCCATGCCCTGGGCTGCATATAACAGGCTCCTACTGTTAGAAACATTGTCCTCAGCAAGTTCCCTGACTTTTTTGCTCGTTGTAGGGTGGAGATCTCACGTTTCATGTATAGTGAGTCAATACCAAAGTACTGACCTGCTTTATCTTCTTTACGGCTTAGCCTGCCCTCTACTAGAAACTCAACAGAAATACATTGAGTGAGTATCCTTCCTTTAGTGGCAAAATATAACACATCAAATTGTTCATTTCTGTACCAAGTAGCATGTACTGTGAACTAGATCCAATATCTTTTTCTTCTGTGAGTGCAGGGATTTTGCATATATGATATAATTTGATTTCTAGAATTCAACTTCTACTCTTTTTTATAGTTTTTGCCATAGGGTACATACATTCACAAGAGAGAGAAATCACCTCACCGGGAGGGGGGGTGGGGGATGGCCACATGACAATCCCTTTTCTATTCTCCTCTCAGGATTTTGGAAGTGCATGTACACGAACCCAGTGTATTTTCGAAGCCACCAGGTCTGGGACATGAACCGAACACTCAGCCCTGTGGGATCCAGCTACCTTAACCACCACACCACCTGGCTGGCCCAACTGCCATTCTTTCATTAGCTTGCAATTAAGAGATAAGTTTACAATAATATAGGAACTTTATTCTTCTCCTTTTCTCTTTCTTTTCTTTTTCTACTTTTAGTTTTCTAAGTTTCAATTTCTTTACACACCATAAGAAAATAAACATAAAGTTATCAGTGTTTTTTGTCCCACTGATGAGATTTCAAGTAGTTTTTTTCCCTCTTACATTTCTAATATTTCTCACTTTTTCCATGATGTTTATCTACCACCTTTATAATCTGAAAAAAATAATTTTATATTAATGTCCTTTCAGGAATTGAATGGCAGAGCCCTACAAAAAGCATCTATCTTTATGCATCTAACTTTTCATGGTAAATAACCAAAAGCACTATGTCTTTAAGGAAGGGCAGACAGTGTGTTTCTTCAAAAGAGCCAATAACACAATTCTACATGACATGATCGATGCATGCTGTGTGTCTGTTCTCTCCTAGGTACCTCAAGATGAATGGGGAGGGTATCCCACTGGTGGCAAAGATGAAGAAATACCCTGTAGGAGAATGAGAAGTGGGAGTTATATTAAAGCCATGGGCGACGAGGAGAGTGGAGAATCAGACTCCAGTCCCAAAACATCACCAAAGGTAGCAATCCGACCAGAGCCCTTGATAAAGTCCACTGGACAGAGACCACTTGGAGACCATCAAACGTAAGAAAGTCTGCCTTCCCTCTTCTGAATACTTCTTGTTTCAGAATTCTTCTCTTTTCAAAACTAACCATGGCTAGTTGCGATCAACTTAAACTAAATTCTTGAGTTGAAAATATCAGACCCCATGGCTATCAATTTTCAAGTCCTTAAAAAAAGGAGACTTTGGCATTTATTTATTGCATAGTGATTAAGTAAATGTGTTTCAGCAATTTCTGTGTCAAATTTCAAAGTCAATATGAATTATTAATATCTCCCAGATCATTCAAATTATTTTCATCAGAAAGAGCATGTGTTTCTATTTGTACATGTGTGTGCATGGCTGTGAATGTGTGAGTAAAAATGACAACAGAGAATCGTTTTTGTTTACGATTGCTTTATAAGTGCATTTCTAAACAACATTTTTTTTTTGGTATAAGAAGGTAGAACATGGACTAGTTTTACAAATATAATATTACACACTTTATCACAAGCCTTATTAATAAATTTAACTGATTTCTGAAATATAAACAGATAAAGCTGTTTGAAAGCCAGCTATTTGTATGAACTAAGAAAATATGAGTATTGCTTTCAATAGCCACATTGTGTATGTCTGCTCCTACCAGCTAGCGTGGAGGTAAATTGTAAGAACTGCCTTTCCCTGCTGCCCACTGCAAGCTGTCCTTTGTTCCATGTGAACAACAATGACAGGGTGAAGCAGGTCCTCAGTGTTTCCCAGTATTGTTTACAGAGTTATTAACCGAAATGCACAAGTGAGACAATGATGCCCCATACTGAGGTGTTGTCTTTTGCATCATCATCCATGCCCGGCGCACAGGGTTTTGAGACAATGATGGTGTGATTTCTTCTAGTACATCCAGAATTTTTTTTATTAATGTTAGCTTGTAGGCAAAAAAAATAAATAAATAAAATAAGTTAATCATGGCCAAATCTTATAAATTCTACAGTCTTGACTAAATTCAGTTTTTATAAATAAAGTTTTATTGGAACACAGTCATTTGCCCTCATTTACATACTGTCTACGGCTGCTTGAGAGCCACACTGGCCATGTTGAGTACCTGTGAAGAAAACCACACAGCCCACAAAACCAAATATATTTACAGATACTCTTTACTAGAACAAATGTTCCAGCACCTTTATAATCTAACAGAAGTAATAGTCTTTGGATGAGCAGTTACAAGTGCCATAGATGACTTATAAGTACAAAATTCAGCATGCTCTTAAGCAGAACTCCTTAACCCTTTTTAGGAGTCCTGGGCTTATCTCCTGAGTAAAGTCACATTTCTGTTAAGAGAGTCATACTGAAGAATAAATAGGATAGTCAATAGTTAAGAGAATATTTCACCCGAGCATAGTAAAACCATTCTCCAAGAATGATAATTATCATCGATTGGTTGCCATTTCTGTGCAAGTCTATAAATATCATCATCACAGCCACACTTCTTTAAGGAGGTACTGTTACTTGGCTTGTAAGGATGAGGAACTGTCTCAATAAGTCTCTAAGTCCATGGTTTTTATGTCACTAAACTACAACGCCCCTCAGGCTGAAAGGTATCAGAGTCTCTCCTCAGTGATGACTCACATACTTCATCTAGCTGAATTACAAATAGCCTTGACTTCCTGTCACAGCTCCCCTCATTTTTTTTCACCATCTAAGGTCTCTTTCAACTAGTGACTCTCTATCCATCAGACAAACTGTATTTATTAAACAATTAATAATTTCTATTTCCATCTATTTATGACCTAAGTGGATGAAAAGCTGATAAAAGCTTCTACTTAGCTTGAGCTAATCAACATTACCATGCTGAGTTGCTTGTTTAGGTTGAACCATATGAACCTGCCAACATTCAGCTATTTTTTCCTTATAAAAACAGAAGCATTCTGTGGTTCAACCTGCTGATCCCAGCAGAGATAAAGGAAGCTTACTAAGATAGTGATGGTAATCTTCCTGCACATAAATATGTGACATATATTAGAGGCTGTGAACATGAGAAAATAACTGGGAAGCCAGATAGGGGTGGAGCAGTGAAGTATGACACTCTGCAAGGCTGACGCACATGGGAGGACTCCAGGTTTGTGCCTGGAGACCTCCTTGAGTATACCAGGCATGCACGTGCCCTTGATCCAGGGCTGACTAAGGTTGGGAACAGATTGCAGTATCAAGACCCTGTTGAAAGTGCTCTCCCTTTCACTTTATCTCCCACCTTCTCTCTCTCCCTTCCATCTCTCCTATCTCTATGTCCCTCTTGCTCATGAAGGAAATAAATAAATAAATGTACACATTCTCTAAAAAATGGAAAATAGCTTAATGAATCCATTTTCAAGATGCTTATTCCTCTGAAAATTATATTTGGAATCTACTGTTCTACTTTCTGCTAGCTCCTATGAAGAAAGTGAGAGAAAAAGAAAGAAAGGAAGGAAGTATAAAGGGAAAGACAGAAAGAGAAGATCAATTCAATACTAGGTAAAGCAAAAACATACCAAGAGATTTGAGCAGTACACATAAATAAAGAACATGTTAAGGGCTATGCCACATCAGATGCGCTAATTAGAAGTCACCGACATTGGGAAAGACTGCTCTACTGGAGGCTAAAGCTCGGTTGTCATGCAGCCAGGAAGAGGAGATGCCAGTTGTCCAACCGGCCCTACATCACTCAGCACAGTGAGGATAGCAGCCGTGTGTGAGAACCTAGGTAGGAACCAGGAGGCCTGGAGATCCCCCTTGAGCATAGGCAGGTCTGGAGGAACAGAGAAGTACCCCATGCTATCAAAATTAACATCTGCCTCAGCTCACCTCCAGGCCCCATTGGCTCCTATGGATTCCTATTCATGGTGCCTTTGAGCAGCTAAGGGGCATGGTCACAACTGCTGCAACATGAGGCATGAAAATTATTTAAATGAACTTAATCTGATGTCTTAGCAGTAAGTTCCATAAGTAGACCATACCTAAACACTATTTCCAATAAAACAGATAATTCCAAAATTATATTTAAAATATAATTGAAAATTAATGGATTTAACAGTGCATGGAGGTTTTTCCCCCTCTTACTCCACAGAACTCCCTGTACAGGAACTGAAAGATAAAATCTTAAACAGAGTGATGCAAATGATCAAAAATAAGAATAAATTATCTCTATAAGGTTTTCATTTTCCTCTTGTTATTTACAAATAACTTCTATTACCATTAACAGTATTTAAGAATTCAATTACAATGGCCTGGTGAACTTAGCCATTATATTTTAGTGGTGGTTTGATAGGTATGGATTCAGTTTCTATCATCAAGTTATCATATTAGCACACTAAAACCTTGGGAGTTTTCATTCACCTTTGATTTCCCTATTATGTTATATAAAATGGACTGACTCACAGTTCTTTTCTGAGTCTGCTTGGCTAAAGGACTGGAAGAAGATTGGGTCTTTAATTGGCTGTTATCAGTTCTTCTTCTGAACCATGTAATAGAAAACCCCTTCTGTGAGGGTTGCAGATTGTCTGCTTCAAGCAGCTCGACCTCTTGGAACAATGCCAGAATTATTCTGTTGAAAATTGCCTGTCTTCCTGCTGTTAAACTAAGAGGGAAAAAAAGTCCTCTAACTAATAATTTAATATGCATCCTTATACATATAAGCACTTTCACTTTTATCTTGCTATATTCTCTATAGTAGTACATAGTAATGAAAAGTCCTTCCATTGCAGTTGCAAAAAAAAAGATAAAACAAAAGTAAGCTAAAAACCTTGTCACACCTGTTTTAGTGCCTTACACACAAGATTCTCAACAACTGTGCCTACTCTTTAGGTCAGGAAGAGCCCTAGGCCTGGTCAAGCCCTTTCTGTCTGTGGGTCAGACCCCACCCACAGGCAAAACACCGCTTTGAATTATTATCAAGTAATTGAAATGCAAATTCCAAGCTACTATGGAATTCAATTTAGTACATTTTTAAAATTAGGTTCTGTGTTAAGTATTTTAGATATTGGACTTGTTTATGTCTTAGTATTTGAAATACTTGAGTGACCAATTCAATTTTGATTATGATAAAAGGCAGACTAAATAATCTCATTTGTAGGTCTGCTTTTTTTCTGTTTGGTTGGATTAAAAAGTAAAAGCTCTAATAGTTTTGAATATCTGAGCCATTCTCTGGTAACAGTAGCACTTTAAATTTATAGCGAGGGGTGGGACCAGCAGTTAGCGTAATGGCTATGTCGCTGGACTCCCACATGGTGGACTACGGTTTGCGTCCCGGACCCGGTGGCTTAAAACTCACGCCGGGTGCGTGTGTGTGCATGCCCAAGATCCCAAGAGGAGAACAGAGGAGAAGGGATTGTGGCGTGGCTATCCCCCCTGGGGGGTGATTTCTCGCTTTCTGTCTCTCTGTCTTTCTCTGTTTGTCTGGCGAGCACACGCGCCCTATAGCATAAACCTCTCAAAAAAAAAAAATATATATATATAAAATATAAAGTAAGGGGCCAACAGAGGGTGCAATGGTTATATTGCTGGACTCTTACATAGTTTTCTGTGGTTTGAGTCCCTGACCCAGCAGCTTAAAACTCACGCAGGGTACATGTGTGTGGGTGCCCAAAATCCCAAGAGGAGAATGGAGATGGGGTTGTGGCATGGCCGTCTCCACTGGATAATTGCTCTATGAGTGTCTTGGAATTCACTGGTCTATGGAGAATGGTTATGCCACCATAGGCAGAGAAGAGTCAGAGGCTTTTTGAGACATGTGGGGTCACTCTGACAGCTGAGTGAGAATTATAGAGCCTTTTAAAGAAGTCATGGATTATTCAGAAGCCATCTAAAAAGATTGATTAAAGATCCCTCAAAGCTACTTTCCACACTTATAACTCCAACAACTTTTCTTTTTCTGTGTTTCCTGTTGTTAAAACTCCCTTGTATATTTGGGCTCCCAAAACCTTTTTCAGGCCACTCAACTTTTAAATCTCTCAGACACTCACCCCAAACTCTGCTTCTTATACTACGGGCAAATCTCCCTTCTCTTCTTATGATT